TCAAGTTTCGAAGTCGTGTGATTATAATTGGTGATATGATTATGAACAGCAATAATGAATTTTGTTCGAAACTGTGTCATCCAGTAAATACTAATGCTGTTTCACTGACTGTTTGATACATCTAATAAACAAACTATTGGGTCATAGGAGTTATTAAAAAGAAAATTGCAGCGAAGAAAATTTTCTTTCCGACGAAGTCGCCGTCATCTAGGCTGTACATTCGTGCATTTACATCAAATGGATGAGAAAGATCCAGAATAATTTCCGGTTAAGGGTCATAGACAAGAATCTCAACTCTAAGAAGACTTCCGAACTAGTCCAATCCGTTCCAAAGAAAATTTTTTTGCTTAATCTAGAATTCCAAGGTGATATTGAAGCAGAAATCCTTCGCAAACGCCTCTCCAAATCGCTGAGGAAGACATACTTCGCCGTGAGCCTACGACTGACGTTTTCTTGCAAGAAACTGTTCAACCAGAACGTGAAAGACAAGCTGTCGCATTGGGCCACTTCAACGTGCATATACCAGTTTACTTGCTCTTGTGGAGCTGGGTACATCGGCCGTACTATGCGCCGACTTGAAAAACGCACTCACGAACACTACCCAGCCTGGCTAGTAAAAGGAGACCAAAAACGTGTATACAGTTCAGTGACCAAACATCTGGTCAACTCAGGACATTCAGCGCCTTTCGAAAAATCCTTCAAAGTAACATACAAGATTCGATCAAACCTATCAAAGGGAGTGAAATCAAGACATCTGGGCATAGCTGAGGCGCTAGCTATCCAAAAGCTCGAACCCACACTTTGTATCCAAAAGAAATACGTCCAACCCCTGTCCCTGCCATGGCCATCATAAATTTTTTAGTAATGACGATCTCATCGCCTTTCTTATCCAAACTTCCTATTTATTCATGTTATTTTAAGTTTTTCTTAATCCCTCCACTATTTACACTACCATATTTTCATATCCGAACTTCCTGTCTATTTTTTTATTTTATTATTTCTACATTTCTAACCCCCAATTGCACAATGGCAATCTTCTTAGTTATTAAAATGCTACTTTGTTTGAGTTTTACTCATCCCCCTGTTTATTATGGCATTCTAATTCCTAATTGTAATTTAATTAATTTGACCCTTAACCGGAAATTATTCTGGAACTTTCCCATCCACCATTTGATATAAATACACGAATGTACAGCTGTCTAGTTGACGATGACTTCGTCGAAAAGAAAATTTTCTTCGCTGCAATTATCTTTTATTAAACAAATATTATAGAGTCTCTTTCGTTTGTTCTCATTCCCAATTTCGCCTTCTGTCTTCTTCTGTCTATCCATCCCAGTCTGTGAACTTAATGCCTATCAATGCATAGACGGCTTTTTCCATTTCACAAACTCACGCTAAGCATGCGGTGATCATTTGTAGGGCGTAGTTTTTACTCTCTATACCGAACTTGAGGCGTCAAGACCCTTTCGTTTGTCTTTTATCAGCGTTTCCACTACTACCATGGACTTTCGTTGTTGTTGTCGTTGTTGCCTGTTATGACTTCCTTTATTGTTTATTTGTGTGTGTGTGTGCATGTGTTTGTGTTTGTCTGTGACACTTTATGTTTAACAAATCCTGGAATGGCAGTCACCTCTCTATCTCAACTTCATCGACTTTGAAAAGGCCTTTGACAGAGTCGATCGAGAGGTGATTTGGAAAATACTGCGCTGCTATGTGGTGCCACCGACAATTATACATCTCATCCAACAGTTAGTTGTACGACAATGCTGCATGCCAAGTAATCCACAACGGGAAACTTATGGAATCCTTCGAAGTGAGGACAGGAGTCAAACAAGGTTGCCTACTATCACCAATGATTTTCTTGATTGCAGTAGACTGGATAATGCGACAAACAGCGGGCAATGAGGATCTTGACTTCGCCGATGATATATGTCTGATTTCCCACAAACTGGAAGAAATGCAAGCGAAAAGCAACAAGTTGACAGAAGAAGCATCCAGAGAAGATAGGACTTCAGGTGAACATAGAGAAAACAGAGGTAATGAAGATTCCTGGGCAACACAACCAACAGCAACAACAACAACTGATAGCAATCAGCATAAATGGGAGTAACCTGAAAGAAACAACCTCTTTTACCTACCTTGGAAGCATCGTTTCAACTACAGGCGGATGGAACTAATGAGGATATCAAAGCAGCGACGATCGTGAAAGCAAGACAAGCTTTCACTACTCTCAAGTCTGTGTGGAGGTCAACAACACTCAGCATCAAAAATAAGATCCGGATCTTCAACTCCAATGTGAAGTCAGTGCTACTACATGGATCAGAGACTTAGCCAAATTTCAGGCCGACCATAGATATCGGGTGTGCGCCGGCAGGGGATCGAACCCCGGACCATGTGCATGGTCGGCGAGAGTCCTAACCACTGTGCCACCGACGCATACATACTATGTTACAAGCTCATACGAGGAGGAAGGATACATTAGAAAACACATACTGAGACATGAAACTGCACTTCACTTTAGTCTCACCATTTTAATTATTCATTATTGTCCCCTTGGGTTCCTAGTGGAACATAGGGCTTCAACTGCACGTTTCCACTTGCTTCTGTCTTCTGCTGTACTTTTCACCTGCATCCATGTTAGTCCATACTGTTTCAACTCCTCTTCACACGATCTCCTCCATGTCACCCGAGGACGTCCCACTACTCACCGCTTCCCTTTCGGGTTCCACTCGAGCGATGGTCTGACGCGCGATGTCACCCAGCGGCCTCTTAAGCGAGTGTCCAATCCATCTCCACTTTCTCCTGCAAATTTGATGGGCCATTAGTTCTTGTTTTGTTTGCTCTCATAGTTTCTTGTTGGTTCTTGTTCTTTCCGGCCATCTGATCTTCAGTATAGGGCGAAGAAAGTTGTTGCTGATGAAAGTCTGCAACAAGCTGTTGGAAATATTCTTTGTGACCCGCCGACAAGTTTCTGATCCTCGTATAGAAGAACTTACTGACTTGACGTTTATATTGAAAATCCGAATTTTGTTGTTGAGTGTGCCTGAGTGACGAAGATTTCCAGATTGGTTTCAGGTTGATGAATGTGTTTCTCGCCTTCCCGATTCTCGATTTGACATCCTCGTCTGTTCCTCCTGTAGTTGAGACAATGCTCCCTAGCTAGATAAGTGAATGAAGTAACCTCTTTCAAATCCCTCCATTGATGGTGATTCTTGCTGTTGTTGTTGTTGTTAGTTGGTTGATTATTTTCATAACTTCTGTCTTGTCTTTGTTCACCTGGAGTCCTGTCTTCTCTGGCTGCTTCTTCGACGAGTTTGTCAGTTTTCGCTTGTAAGTCTTCGATTTTGTGTGACATCAATCATCAATCATCCGCGAAATCCAGGTCTTCTATATTCTTCACGTTGGTCCAGGATATCCCTGTCACCATACTGATCATTTTTTGTCAAATTAATTTTAAAATTGCACCTCAGTGTAGACGAAGTGTTCATAGTCTCATCCCCTTGACTGGCTCTCCTTTAGGGGGACACCACACCCAAAGTGAACAGCACTAACTACTTTGTTCTTACTCTATAGTTGGTTTGTAAGGGTTACTTTTGTTTTCACGAGTTGATCACGGATTGGTATCAGTTAGAGAACCATTGTAAACCAGCCACAGGGAGTACTGGACAGCCAGCTGTTTCATCAGCCTAGTTTGGGAATCATCGGCAGTACGCACCCACCACAGAGGGTTTGAACGCAGGACCTTCTGGTTACAAGGCCAGCTAGCTGGCTCGTATACCATTCAGCCACTCACTGGGACCCGATTCAATGGCCAGTGCATGAATTCTAAATTTTACCAATTCGTGATTTAGCGCGACTGGCACCAACCAATGTCATCGGTGGGAACTCGATCCTCACACTTGACTACTGGTTGGATCTCACTGGTCACGACTTCTCACTAGAACTGACTCTCCAGGAAACTCCATCCTGTAGCAGCAAGTCACTAGCGAGCATCAGATTAATTTTTTCTATAGTTTGGTTTGTAAGGGTTAGTTTTTTTTTTTTTTTACGAGTTGATCACGGATTGATTCCACTAACTACCGTTTGAATGATTTTATATGTTTTTGATGTGGTTGTGTTCTCTGAGCTGGATAGTTAATTTGCGAAGCTTTCATCGCCCTACTAGGCAACATCTTCAGCGCATACTTCAATTTGAATGAAGTGAGCTTTTAGATTTCTCCACGAGTTTATTAATCATCTCTCCTGGTGACCTTGGACGTGATTGGTTGTTTTTGTGTGTTTTCACACCCTCTAGGCTACTTGTATTGGAGCTGATTGTTTCTTTGACTTGAACTTTGACCCTTTGTGTTTGTAAGGTTTCCTTCTTATCGGTTGATAAATTTTGTCTATCTCGATGTGTCTATTGATTGATGATTCACTGGAATACCAGGTAGGCTTCTAAAAATTCTCTAGCATTCTCGGTGTTGTTTCCTCTGTCTAATATTTGAACGTTGGTTGTCCCAGTCGAATTAATGTCCGTGGTTGTCTGTATGTAGTGATATGAGCGAGGGAGTGGATGTCATGTCTTTTGACGGCTAGCTTATGTTCGTGGATACGAAGACGAAGAGGAGGGACGTCCACTTTGGCCAATGTAGTGTTTTTCGCAGTTGATACAATTTATTTTGTAGATGCAGATGTTGGTTTTATCTTCTTTCGTTGTTGAATCTTTTGGTTGACATAGAATTGAGTGAAGTGACTTTGTTGGTTTGTGTACGACGTCAATTCCTAAAGGTTTTACGAGTCTTGTAGTGATTTCTGAGATATCCTTTATATATGGTAAGGCGATTTTCTTTGTGCTTTCCTTGGGAGCTTTTGGTTTGATAGGTTGGCTTTGGAGTATATGTCTTTTGATGAAATTCCGTGGATATCCACCATTCTTTTGGAAGACGTCCATGGACGTCCAAAAGAATCTACTAACTACCGTTTAAATGACTTTATATGTCTTTTTACACATTTTTTAGTGTCTGATACCTGTTCGGACATGAAGACATCCGGTGAGAAACCCGCCAACATGCAAATCGCCAATTTGAATACATCATCAGTTTCCAGCAGTTATACACCTACGAATGCAACAAACAATTTATCCAATGTCGACAACAATCCGTCGCATTATCAAACATTAATAAACACTGGCGTTGATAACACAGATCTCCACTTTCAAACACAGCATAATTCATCGTGTCAGTCACTACGTCCAGATTCGCTTCTCTCGACGTCTACTACAACGACACGCGAATCATCGTCATCTTATTCTGATTTATCGCCTAACTCCATGTCATCGCATGATTCAGCATTGGGCGGTGGAGGCAAATCACAATCTGACAATGCTGGAGTGCTGAAGAAGACCATGTGTCCTGTTACAGTGTAAGTGTTGGTGTTATTTGTGCTTGTTCTTTGCAGATTTCATCTTTACTATTTGAAGTTTTTTGGCATAACTAACTACTTCATGAATTGTAGGTTGTATTTATGCTCACTGATTGATACAAACAGATTAGTTTTCAAGTATTGGTTTTGTAGCGATTTTCGCTTGTTTGACTGCATGGAGGATTTCATCATAATGAGCTGATATCAATTAGTTAGAGAACCACTAAAAATCCGACTGGGAGTACTGCCAGACAGCTGTTTCGTCAGCCTAGTTTATGGCTGAATCTTCAGCAGTACGCTGATGAGGCAGTAACTCATTGAAGAAGAAGACATCGCGAAATTGTGGCGCTATGTCGTGAATTGTCAGAAGTTATTCCATTATGAGTAAATTTTATTTTGATAAAGTCTCACAGTGTTATATAGTAATCATTTGTAAAAAATTATATTTGTAAAATCTCAGCGATATTGAAATAAGTAATTCCAACGTTTCGTTCGGCAATCTGGCCCGAACTTCTTCAGGGAAATTAATCGAAATTAACATAACAGAGGTTTTATATATGTCTACTTCTCACTATTCGGTCAAATCTTGACGACAGTTCATTTGAGTTATACAGTAATGTTTACTGATGACGTTTCGAGCACAATTTATTGCTCATAATCATGACTTCCTAAATTCATTTATATACTTCCGTTGTTTTTCACTTGATTTTCACTTGATTTGATTGGTAGTGGTATCTTCCATATTTCGGGTTTGAGTGATGAATCATTTTTACTGCATGTGTCGGGTGTATACTCGATGAACAAGGATTCAGTAATCAACCTCTCTCGCTCTCCACCTACCTAGATTACTTCTTAGAATCTTAACCCTCTCCCATCATGCTATTGTGTGGTTGTGTGTTAATGCATGCAGTCCAATGTAGTGCTGAGTTCCTTTTTCTGAATTACTCATCTTGTGCGTCGGTGGCACAGTGGTTAGGACTCTCGCCGACCATGCACATGGTCCGAGGTTCGATCCCCTGCCGACGCACACCGGATATCTATGGTCGGCCTGCAAAATTTGGGCTACCGATATCAAAAGCTGAAAATTCCATACTTGTACTAAAAATACGGTGTGGCATCAAGCTGTAACCAAAAATAAAAAAAAAAAATAAAAATCTTCTCGTGTGGAGTCAACCATTCTTACCTTAGCTAAATTCTGATGTTCTGACAATCTGACTTTCCCCAACCTGAGAGTTTGACTGACCTATGTAGCTGACCTAACTCACAGTCATTGCACGGTATTTTGTAAATTATATTACTTTGTCTAATTGGGTCAACCGACAGGGTACATTAACCAACCTACAGAGCTTGTCCTACCTGAGTGAGTTTGTAGGATTAAATGGCATCACCCTAATTCCTGCTTTATTAAGAATCCTACGTAGGGAGTGTCTCAGATGTCCCCTCCCTCCTAATATGGTACAACAAAGGATGACTTATATTCTCTCTTATTTATGTTGGTTATCATTACTAGCTTCACAATTATTTTTCGATTTTGCTTTTGGCCTTTTTCAGTCTTCCTTATGAATTTTAAAGGATAGTTGTTTAACACCAACACCTCATCTTCTATCGGTTTTATTTCATCATTTAGGTCTTTTTTTGTGCTACTTATTGCCATTGCTCGGTTTGTTAAACACTTAACTAAGCGTGCCTTAACAGTCAAAGGATGAGGTGATGAATTAAAGTCTAAATATCTATTAGCAGAATGCGTTGGTTTTTTACAAACACTAGTGTGTAGTTTGCCTTCTTCTATTCGTTTTATTTTACAATTCAACATCACAGCTAATTCTCCTTATTCATTTTCTGCCAGAAGTTAAAATTCATGCACTGGTCATTGTATCGGGTCCCAGTGAGTGGCTCAATGGTCTCAGAGCTCACCTTGGAACCAGAAGGTCCTCGTTTCGAACCCCGATGGGATGGGTGCGTACTGATGAAGAGTCAGTACCAAACTAGGCTGACGAAATAGCTGTTCAGCAGTACTCCCAGTCGGTTTTCCATTAGTTCTCTAACTAACTGATGTCAGCTTATCACCGTGATGAAATCCTCCATGCAATCAAACAAACGGAGTACACACATGTTGGTATTTACACAGTCGACATGGGATGCACTGTGATCTGACTAAAAAGACGTTAATTATCAGGACTCATTTTAAGTGATAAATGAAACCGTTAGTGGTACAGTCGTCGTACATTAAACAGAGTTACATCTCTTGAGAAATCTCCGGAAACTGTTTCTTCTCCTCATGTTGGCTGCAAGAAGGCATATCATATAATAGTGATATAAGTATAAAACTTGGGCACTGTGGTGTGGGTGGTAGAGTATAACTACTCCATTATGGATAAGATTTTCTGTTTTGATAAACTGTCACTCACAGTGTGTGTGTAGTGTTATACAGTAAGTAATATTAACTGATGCGACCACACGCTTCGAGCACAATTCACATTATTGCCACTCATAATCATCATATCAAGTCACTCACTCACTCACTCACTCACACAACTTTCTTCTTCCTTCATTTATATACATGAGTGGAATTCATGATGATTAGACATTTGAATACAAATCAGTAATATAGGATATTGATCATTTTGGCAATTTATTAGGCACCCGGTAGATGATGATAGAGAAGGATTCTTCAATGCTGGCTGGCTGGCTTTGTGGCCGGTCTGTTTGCACCAGATGGTCCAATATCGAACTGTTTGTTTATGGTTTTCACTACACCTTTACTTAGCCGTAGTGGGAGATATTCTCGAGTGAGCACGAAAAATCAAGTTCCTAGAACAACAACGACCAATATAACTCGCTCCACCACAGGAGAGCAGTTGAATTGGTAGATACAATTAGAAGTGGCCAGCTAGTCTCGGTGCTTCATCTTTCAGTCGAGGTATAACCATCAGTCGTGTGGAGAATAAGATGTGTAGTTCGCCGCCAGCATTAAAAGTTCTTTGAACTGATTTTCTTAATTTCTTCGTAATTATCTCACTTGGTATATTGATCACCCTTGAATTGCAGGCGTACACAAAGTAGCTTCTTGTTTACAGATAGTGAGTAGACCTTTTCCTCCGCTTTCGTTGTCATGTGTTTCTTGATAAATTTGTCGGGATAGCTATTTTTGATCAAGCAAAGTATCAAATACAATGCTTAATTCATCTTCAATTACTTCTTCAGAGCATATAGCTCTAACTAACTCTGTGGCTGAGGGTCTTTACTAAATTTATTTTGTACTTGAGAGGAAGGAAGTTGTGAAAATGTGTATATTGTCCTGTCCAAGTACTTTTTCTTTGCAAATTTTTTTTTATATTGCCATCTGGTTTCCTTGTGAGGAGGACATTCAGGAAGGCAATTCTGTTTTGGGATTTCTCTTCGCACGTGAATATCATAGCCGAATGTACTTCATTGAATTCAGTAATTATTGTACTCCTATTCGAATCATTATCACAAAGAATGAAGGTGTCATTCATATATACCGGCGATAAAATGAGATCTTACTGCTAAGGTTGTTCAAAGGTCCATTTTCTAGTTTATTTAGAAAGAAATTAGCCAAAATGTGGCCCAATGGGAAGCCCATCGCCACACCGTCCACTTACCTGTAAAGCCTACCGTCAAATTTGAAATTTACATTCATGATACGTACACCTTAGTAACAATTCTTGTAGGATTTCAGTATGGTTGCGAATTTTTATCGACAGGTTATCCACTTGTTCACATATGTAATTAGTTAACTGTTTATACTAGAGGTACATTTGTGAATTATGATATTATGTCCAGATAAAAAAGACATTTGTAGTTAGTCTACTTTTGTCACTCATATATGGAAGGGTAGATGATGATTAACAGCAATAGAATTCAGGATATTCACTTCGTCTTTATTTTGGTCTCGTCATCTGGATATACCTGTACTTCCTAGTGATTAAGAGTGTTCCCATTGAGGTTCGAACAAGTCCCAAATAGGAAGAAAAAAAGGAATTAATTGAAGTTAATCCTCAGGCATCATCAACCTTTGTCTGCAGGATGCAGCCGACATGCCAACACGGGCTGAACGGGCATTAATGAAAAGGATTGCTGTAAAATTACTCCTGTCTGTCGGTTTTCGACATAGAACCACTTTGCACCGATGTACAGAAGTTCATGTCGCCACACTCCCTCCATGTAACACAAGAATCTAGGGAAGAAAGAAGAAGAAATGCATAATAGAGAGACTAAACAGAGGTGTGAGACAAAGGAATAATAGTAATAACGAAGAATGATATAGTTTCATTGGGTATTATAAGTCACAAGGAGTGGATGCATCTAACTGCGCCAGCCAGCCATTGAGAACGATGAGTTTGAGCCATATCACCAATTGTATCCAGCCTTCATTGGTTTTAACCGTCTCGAGGACCCTAACCAGGAAGCCAGTCTACACCTTCCTACGCTGACCATTATTGAGGAAGGCGATCCATGTCTATTCATACATGCATGCATGCGTGACACATGTCCTAACCATCTCAGTCGATGTAACTGCTTCATAGCCTCATTGTCGATTGATTTCCCCTCTCACCTACCTAACACTCGACTTAAGCGTAACCTCAATATTGCTCACCCTATTATACCACTTCACACAGGAGTGAGATAGAACAAACGCAGGCACCTATGATGAAAGACAGCTAGTCTTTTCATGTACACACGCCCTTTGGTCAACAATGAGTCAACCAGCCAGCCAGCCAGCCGGATATCACCTTATGCTAAGCCAGAGACGGTGTAAACTGGTATAAATGCGAAACTAGCCTTCTGTATCCGCCATACCCAGCTGAGATTTCGTCAGCGATGAGATCAACCCATTGGTACTGGCTGATGCAACATGAATTCAATCCAGATAGCAACGTTTAAATTGAATAATGAAAAAAAGGTTAGAAAATAGACTTAGGTCAAGTTTAAAGGACATATTCAAGGTCAAAGTAACAAAAGTTTATTTTCTCACCTCT